GATGAACTTGATCCATCATCGGATTTACAAGGAAATACATTTTCAAAGAATGATGCATTCCTAGATTCCATGATCGTATTCTTGTGTATATCTGAAATTTTTGATTCATGCACAAGAAATCGATATGCATTACTGTTATGTGCATAGCCTATAAAGATACAGTCCACCGTTTTAGGACCTATCTTTGTCTTCTTTGGTGTTGGAACCGCCACTTTTGCAAGACACCTCCACACTCGTAAGTGTTTGTAGGATGGTCTCCTACTTTTCCATAACTCATAAGGGGTTTTATCCTCTTTCTTTCGAGGTACCTTATTTAAAAGGTAATTGCTTGACAATATAGCTTCTCCCCACATATTTTGAGGCAAACCTGAATTTAGTAATATCGCGTTCATCATTTCTTTCAATGTGCGATTTTTACGTTCAGCAACACCATTTGATTGAGGAGAGTAAGGCGCAGTTATTTCATGTATAATTCCGTGTTGTGCACAGAATTCACCAATTGGTACTTCGTACTCGCCACCTCTATCACTTCTCAATCTTTTAATTCTCTTATTAAGTTGATTTTCAACTTCATTCTTATAGAGAATAAATTTCTCTAAGGCTTCATCTTTGCTTTTAAGCAAATACACATAACAATATTTAGTGTTATCATCGATAAAGGTAATAAAATATTTATTACCACCTCTCGTTTGTACGAATTTCAAATCGCAAACATCACTATGAATTAATTCAAGGGGTTCGGTGTTTCTTTCAATTGTTTGAAATGATGACCTCGTTAATTTTGCCTCAACACAAATTTCACATTTATGTTTTGAATCAATTTGAAATGAAGGTATATGTTCCAAGTTAATTAATCTACGCAATGTATCATAATTAACGTGTCCTAGTCTACCATGCCATAAATTGGAAGACTCAAGCAAATAAACGGAAGACTTATTATCTTTATTGATAATTGTCATTACATTGAGCTTAAAAAGCCCATCAGTTACATATCCCTTCCCCACATACATTCCGGATTTAGACAAAATAACTTTATCTGACTCAAATACCATACGAAATACATGCTTGTTCAACAGAGACCTAGAAACCAGGTTCTTTCGGATTTCTGGCACATAAAGAACATTGTTTAGAGTCAGCTCTTTTCCTGAGGTCATCTTCAGCAACACCTTCCTTTGGCCTTCGACAGCAGAAGAGGCAGAGTTTCCCATAAAAGCCTTTTCCCCATTAATTGGTTCAAGATTTGTGAACAGGTCCTTATTGGAGCATATGTGCCTAATAGCACCAGTGTCAATCCACCATTCCTTCGGATTGGACCCAACTAAGTTTACTTCAGAAACCATTGCAGAAAGGTTTATGTTTGACACGTCTTGAGCGATGCCACTCACCATATTTGTCTCATAATTCTTCTTCTTCGGAAGTCTGCATTCCATAGATCTATGCCCCATTTTACCACAGTTGAAGCATTTTCCTTGAAACTTGTTCTTGGAAACTCCTCCTTTTGGTCCCAACTTTGGCTTGGCAATCTTCTTGTTCTTGTGGCCTTGCCTAAGTTCCACAACATTTGCCTTAGCTGTAGTAGGATTGAACCCTTTGCGTTCAAATCCTCTATTGTCTTCTTCAATTCGAAGTCTAACAATCAGCTCTTCCAGGTTCATTTCCTTTCGCTTATGCTTGAGATAGTTCTTGAAATCCTTCCACCCAGGAGGTAGCTTTTCAATAATAGCAGCCACTTGGAAGGTTTCACTCAAGATCATTCCCTCAGTCAGAATTTCATGCAAGATCACTTGAATTTCTTGCACTTGACTGATCACAGTTTTAAAGTCCACCATCTTATAATCAAGGAATCGACCGACAACAAATTTCTTTGCTCCGGCATCCTCTGTTTTATATTTCCGATCCAAGGCTTCCCATAACTCCTTTGCCGTCGTTTTTGCACAATAGACATTGTACAATGAGTCATGTAAGCCATTCATGACATAGTTCCGACACAGGAAGTCAGAGTGCTTCCATGCTTCAACAGCATTGAAGACTTGCTTATCCGTTTCTCCATTGGATAACTTAGGAGCTTCCTCAGTCAAGAATCTCGCAAGATTTAAAGTTGTCAAATAAAACAACATCTTTTACTGCCACCTTTTGAAGTTCGATCCGTCGAACTTTTCAGGTTTCTCACAATGGTGGACAGAAACCGCAGAAGGAACAGAGGATGAGCCAGACAGTTGGACAGCTGAGGCATAGGCAGAGTTTTTGGTGATGTCGTTAGCAGCTACATCGACACCATCGTTTCCAGCAGCCACATCCACGACTTCTTTACCAGTAGCCATTTGAATTTGTAAAAGCACGAATCTGTTTTAAGATTGTTGCGAAATTCAAATCGGCATCAGTATAAATATTACAAACAATATAGAACAGTAAAGAAATGAAATTGTAATAACAAAGTTGGAATCGATACAAATGAATACCGAGGCCTGTGTTTGACACAGTTTCCTTAAAACAGATTCGTTCCCTCCAGTACGCGACCGAGGTTTCGCGAACGTCTGTCTCCCAGGATACAACGGTTGACAGCGAAGAAGAGAGCACGGCACTTCCAAGCTTCCGGCGAACTCGAACAAACTTGAAATGAACACTACCGAAAAACAGTGCAAATGCAGAGAGAGTGTAAAACCAGAGGAAGAATGATTTCGATAAAAAGGAACAGAGGGGAGAGCAATTCGGGAATAATAACGGCCGATTAAATCTGTCGTTACAAAATCAATACGAATAACGGACGATTAAATCTGCCGTTATAAAATCAATACGAATAACGGACGATTAAATCTGCCGTTATAAGATCAATACGAATAACGGCCGATTAATTCTGCCGTTATAAGATCAATACGTATGGGAATAACGGCTGATTAAATCTGTCGCACGTTATGAAATTCGTAACTGTTTGAGTTGAAAGAAAAAAATAAATAAGAAGGCAAAATTGGGCTCGTCGCGAGGCCCACTTTTCGGTCTTGCAATCGTGTACGCGGGATGTGCGCTCGCGCCCAAGTTTCAACTTGTCGGGCGTCGGATTTGCATCCCCCCTGCGCCTGCGCGCAAGGCAGAGAGTTTTTGCTATGATAGTTACCACTTCAAATAAGTATAACTGTATATAAAGCACTCCATAACCTTCTTTCTTTTCCAATGTGGGAATAGTGTTTTTCACTTCCCACTTCCAACTCAAGGGTGTTCTTTGAGCATCAATTTCTCATTCATTCACCCATCAATTTATCCCATATTTCCAACAGACTTTGCCGTCCTTTTCCTCTTCCAGTGCCGCAGTAGCACCAGCCTGATGCGGCCATGTGCTGCCTCGGCAGAAAACGCCGGCACGGTGCGGTCCGATGTCCTCGGCTTGGAGGTTCATTTTGGGAAACGAGACGTCTTTCTTGGGGTTGAAGAGACGTCATTATTGGCATTGGATTGGGCTCCAATCCAATGGAGTTGAAGTATGTCTGAGCCCCATATCCACTGGCCCTTGGAACCTGTAACAAAACCAGAATTAAGTATCCATGTAAAAGATTATGAGTTGATTAAACGTTTTTAATCAGTGTATTTTTGTGTAAATACTCTACTTATTACAATCACTAAACGTTATGTCACCATGATCTATGTTTAACTTATAATCATGTCAAAGCAATGTGATAATCTAATCATTCTACTTAGCATGATGCTTGAGGGTTAATTGTGGGGCGATTCATGCAATAACTGGCAAATTGATGACTCTTCAATAAACTTATATATGTTTACCCAGTCATGGCAAGAGAGCGTGAAATGGTCAGTCCCAAGGCCTCTATTCCAGTATGGATCCAAGCAGGAGATGGCGCAGACATAATCCCGCCGGACGCATTGCAGCATGGCCTTGTCGAGGACGACTAAATCACCAAGGTACTCGAGGATCATTTCGATGCTGAACAGTGCACGGGAGGAAGTAAACACGAGCTCAATCCGGGATAACAGGCACGGAAACGAGCATTGAGCTCGATCAATATGAGGAAGAAGCCCTCCGTTAAATAGACGTCTTTGCAAACTCCGGTGTGGAAAATGGGTGGTTCTCCTTCTTTATGTACTGAACATATGTATCGAGAGATTATTGTGTATATAAATTGAATCACTTCACTAAATCAAGCTAATTACATTTCAAGAAATAGTGAGATTACATTAGAACAAATGTAAAAAAGTATTGTATAAGTCATTGCATCGACAATATACGTTTATATAAGTCAATCATTGTTAGAACATTTGGATACTAAATTATTCTTTCATTTAATAGCCTAAACTTTTACAATAGTTGGCAATGGCCTGACAAAATTTGGTATGATATCGAAGCATGAGATCGTAAATTTAAATTTTCTTGGCCCCTTACTTACATCCCTTGTTGTATATTCTATTAGAGGTGAGCATCATGTCTGGTTTCCCTCGGCAACTAAACCGAACCGGCCTAGATTGACTAGTTCAAGGCCGTTCTAGGGAAAATCAGTTCGCTTTCTAGTACCGCAAAGCTAAAACCGGTCTAGGATTGGTTCAATTCCCGCTTACTTGAGAACCGGTTTTAAAGTTTCTTTTAGAAAAGATATACTTTTGCACCAAACGAAAATCGAACCACAATCTTCACTATGAACAAACAATACCATAACCACTTGACCAACATACATTGTCACAGTGAAATGTCACAATATTGACATTTTCTCATAAGAATGTGATTTTTTGCATGAATAAAAAAGACTGGGCAGTTCCGGAGTAGTTTCAAAACCGACTGGTTTGTTTTTGAGTACCAAATCATAGGGTTGGTTACCAGTTCTAGGCTGAAAACCGGCCACCTAGGAACAAATCACCCTTTGATTTCCACACTTAGTTTTAGGTAAAAGTCTAGCCTATAGGCAAGGGGGAGCGCTATTATATATTTTCAGTTTATGCCTTCATTTAACAAACTTATAAGAATGTGTGATTTAATATCTAAATATTATTTGTTGATCCTACAAGGGCCAACCCCAGGTTTCCTTGTAGTGTGGGACGCACACGATTTCATAGTGTGGGCTTCGGCCATTGTAAAACCATGTGATGGTCTCGGTTGTTGTCGTTTCGCTAGGCTTGTCTTTGCTCTCGCTTTCTTTCTTGTCTTTCTCGCCGACCTCGCTCACGGACACGATCTCTGTGAACTCGACTTTCTTCCTAAGCAAAGTGGCGAGCTTGGCCGCATCAACCCCATCTCCGACCACCTCGATCAAGTCCTTGTCGTCTCCCACCAATGCCACGGATTGAACTCCTGGAATGGAAAAGAAACGGGTCGATTTCGAATCAAAAGAGGGTTTGTTCTTCTTCTTCTCAATCTCAAAACAATCACCTATCTAAATTAATAAACAGAAGATGTGCCTAAACGGTCAAAGGGATAAAAAGAAACAAAAAATCTAGCAATTACCTGAAAAGCCAGCCGCAACTTTCAAAGCTTTGGAGTGAGAGCTTTGGGGTTTGAAACAATTGAATCTCGAGGTGCTATCGTTCATGAATATCTTAATCACGACCTTCTGCTACCATTGAAAAAAAGAAAGAACGAAAATCAAGAAGGTGAATTAGCATGCGACATAAGGTGAATCAATTCACGATTTCTCGAAAATAAAGCTACTGCTTTTTTCTCCCACATCATATTACCTTCATGGCGCTTGCTTGCTTTGTTTTTGCAGAATTTTGAGAAAATATTAGAGGAGGGTGGGGACGAACTGAGGGACTCCTCTCTATTTATAGCCTCTCCTCGGAAGAAAAGTCGATGGTTTTAAACCCGACCATTGATATGCTTTGGGAATTATTGTTGCTATACAACTTGGCAAGACAAAGTTACCATTCAAACATGGAGCTAGACCAAAAAAAAAATAAAAAATGAATGACTAGGTATTATTATAAACTATAAAGTGAAGTAATCATTGCGCTTCTCATAGTGTAAGCTCGATAATCGAAGACGAAAAGATCTAAACTGCGATTAGTCCAATCCATCAGTTTTTTTTACTCGCTAATTGAAGTTCATTGGAAAGGCCTCCACTCTAAAAAAAAGTACCCCGAATACACCTGACAGACCAAAAAAAAAAAAGTTCCCAAATTGAAAACAATCAAAGTCATTGACTAGTAAGTAATAGAGTTCTGACTGAAGTAGAAGCTTCGAGTGAAACTTCTATGATCAATCGTCGAATTAAGGGAAAAGGGGGCAAATTGCATACTGCCTCCCGAGTTTTCAGGGTTGTTGTAAATTACACCCCCCCCCCCCCCCCAATGTTTCGATTTTGCAATTTGTCCCGTGAAGTTTAGGAATTGGTTGCATCGTGGCCCTCGGCTTTGATTCTGACCAAATTTTGCTTTGAGCTCAGACCACGTGACAGCACGTGATGGATTATTGAGGGAAAATTCGTTGTATAAGCACATACGACGAAGAAGTAGAAGAAGAGTTCATAAACATATTGCTCGTGAGAGCGTGCGACTAAAAATCCGGCGAGAATTCAACTGGAATTAACGTCTAATGCATATCGATATATAGGCTCCGTTTATTCCGTGGAAGATGAATAACTTGAAAAATAATGTCCTAAAAATGAAAGCTTGTATTGTTTGAAATTATTAATCAATGGAAAATGTTTTCATTATTGACAATAAGTCATGTTTAAATATTTTTGTGAACGATGAAAATATTTTTCGTTCATTCAATATTGCAACCGATACAAATGATCATTTTTAGGAAACTATTTTTCAAATCATTTATTTTTTCAATGGTCCCTATATTTGTTTCTCAGGCATGTAGATGATATATGACCAATTTACCTTCACATCTAACTATGTGCATTGGCGTGGTCAAATATGTTACAAAATTTTGGATGGAGTCTACGTTAGGGAGCACAACGCCTTCAATTTCAAAAAAGTTAGGGGGTAAGGGGGGGAAATTGTAAAATTGAAACGTCGGAGGGCAACTTGTCGCAATCCCAAAAAATTTAGGGGCAAATTGTAATTCTCCCGGTTAATCGCCATCCTCGTTTCTCTGCCTCCCTCTCTCTGACTTTTGAGAAGAAAATTATTTACTCTTTTATCTCTCTAATTTAAGCAACCACTTCAAAATGGAGAAATCGATCAAACGTACAAAAAGCATACAATGGGCGGATATCGCCTACTAAAGCTCCTAGAATTTGACTATCACGGACAAACTCGTGATTAGAACTAATCCAGCCGATGTATTGCTCGCCGAAGTTTCTAAGCTCCTCCTTGAAAAGGTTCGGGGCCTACGATTTCTTAAGATTAACGAGTCACAATAGACATCTTTCGAGAACGATGACACTAGCGTGAGGAATTCGAGGTTCCATTTGGAGCCTAAAATCTACCAATCAAAATCGGTTCTCCACTTTCTTGAACCCGAAATCTACCATTTATACCCTAAAATCTAAAATCTACCTTGTCATAAGTTCCAAGGCCTGTTCCGTTTGGTTCCGGGGTCTACTTAGAAACCGGCCAATTTCTTCTTCTTTTTGTGTTTCATTTTTCGTTTAAACAAAATGAAAGTGAACGCAGCAAAAAAAAATGAAAATTTCTCATTTGTCAGTAGCAACAATCCATAAAAGATGAACACATAAAATAAAATAAATAATAAAAAGTTCAAAACACATAACATAAAACTTAAATTATAGAACTTCATATATAGTATGTAGTCAGAGCAGGAGCCCTATATAAAATGTTGTCCCCTTTCTCCTTGAACGGTATGCTAGCATAAAAATCATGTTATTTTTATTAGACACAATTTAAGTTCCCCTGTGTGGTCCTAAGCATAACCTTAAACTGCTTCATCTAGAGGCTCGTCCGAATCACGGGATGCCCTAGATGTAAAGCAAAATAAGGTATTTCCTTCTTTTGGGAAAGACAAATATACAGGGAGAAGACAAAGATACAGGAGAAAGTGAGGGATGCAAAGCATGCAAATCTCGGCACGTTAAAATAAGGTTTGCATCCTTGGAGCCCGCCACCGTTCGTAGAAGTGGATCGGCGGCGGGGGCCCTCGGAGGAAGGCTTGCTTCCCCTCTCTTTGGTGAGGAACCCTGGAAACAATTCCAAGGAGCAGTCTGATAGCATAAAAATTGTTAAAATATGTCTCGAGTTTGAGCTCAATAGACGAAATCTGACCCGAGATTAATTATTATTTGTGGAGGTTTGAATATTCCGAATTGAATATTCTACGGACATCCGAAATCAAGAAATATGTATAAACTCTTTTTGATTGGGAAATAAAATTAAGTGGATGGGCACACAAAATTATATTTCCCTGTAGTCGGCCAAAGAAGTCAAAAGAGGAAAGTCAGGAGGTTAACTTTGTTGACCGAATTCAATTAGATTTTTTGCACGTGCAATTTCCTTCGTTTTGTTGACGTCGTCCAAGAAGTCCACAGTATATATGCTCATGGTCAGGTTTGCTAGAGAGGCCGTTGTTGATAATACGAAGAAGCGCCGTTTCTTCTCGAGAGTGCCGTGAGCGCTAAATTTCTGAGTGACATCCATGGGTGCTGGGTGCTTGGCAGAGCGTTTGTAATTTTGTTCATGAAATTACACCAAGAGTTCAAGTATTTGTAACGATTAAATTTTGTAGTAAGATTTGTGTATAATTTCTTTGCGAGATAGATTATTTCGTGAGGAATTGTGGGGCTAATCACTGCGTGAGTTATTGGGTGTAATTAAGGCTTGAAAAATACTGAAAGTGTTTGAGTGACTCGAGTGTGGTTGTAATCTCCGTTGTATCGATTGATATATAATAGAATTCGTTGCTGCTCTCCCCATGAACGTAGGTCACTACGATCGAAACACATAAATTTAGTGTTCAATTTTTTTTTTGTTCTATTAATTTTATTATTCGATCGCTTAGCTTCCGCAACAAAAATCATGTTATTTTTATTAGGCACGATTTAAGTTTTCCTGTGAAGCAACTCGCTAGAAAATTTCGTGGACTAGTATCTTCGTGTCAATGACTCGTGAGAGGGTAGAAACAAGTTGATGAGCAAAATCTAGCAACACCCACCACCCTACTCTCCTCTACCTCATACTGTTAACTTGCTTTAAAAAAAAACCTGAAGCTTTGTTCAAGTACCATGTCGCATTTGAGACTTGCAAGCTCTATACTCCTTCCTTCTCATTTCCGTTCTAGAAGACAGAAATACCCGACGAAAACTAACATAGGAAGACCAAACACTCTAATACCATTCGGTACCAAAACAAAACACCCTCATTAATCACCGGCCGCTCGACCGCAATTGTGAAAGAATCGCGTTTCAAGCAAAGAAACTGATCTACAGTAACTAGTGCTCTGTTTGTCGTGCGATACCCCAAGAGAGGCAAGTAAAGTGCGCAACCAAATCAATTCACTAGTGGCAATTGCCATAGCGCGATATTCAGCTTCAGCAGAGGACCGAGAAACTGTGGTCTGCTTCTTAGTTCTCCAAGACACGGGACAACCACCAAGTAGTACAAAGTAACCAGTAACTGATCGCCGAGTGATCGGGCAACTTGCCCATTCAAAGTCACAAAAGGCAGTCAAGTGAAGTGAAGTTGGGACTAATAATAGAATCCCTTGTCCTGGGTTTTTCTTGAGATATTGAAGAACTCGTATCGTTACTTCCCAGTGCTGCTCCTTCGGTTCCTGCATGAACTGGGAAAGTATGTGGATAGAATAACATAATTCAAGCCGAGTGATAGTGAGATAAAGTAGATGTCCCACTAATCGACGATAGCAACTTGGGTCTGTCATGGCAGGTCCACTTGCTGTAGCTAACCGGTGTTGTTGCTCCATTGGAGAAGTTGCTAGTTTAGCTGCTAGCATGCCACATTCCGATAAGATGTCAAGTACATACTTTCTCTGACATAGAAATAACCCTGAAGTTGTCCGCGTTAGTTCAATTCCCAAGAAATACTTTAATTGGCCAAGGTCTTTAATATGAAAACGCTCATCAAGGTACCGTTTGAGCGTTGCGCACTTTTTTGAATTATTGCCTGCCAAGATAAGATCATCAACATATACTAACACGGCTAGAAAAGTACTGCCATGAGAATACGTGAACAACGAGTAGTCTACTAATGATTGATCAAAACCATACTCCCTCAATGCATTAGAGAATTTTGAAAACCAATTTCGAGATGCCTGCCGAAGGCCATATAAGAACTTTTGTAGTTGACATACACGATTTGAGTCCGTTGTCGCGAAACCTGGTGGAAGTTTCATAGAAACTTCCTCATCCAAGTCACCATGTAGAATGCATTGTTTACGTCCATCTGATGCAACTCTCAATTACGAGCCAATGCAACTGCAAGAAGACACCGTACAGTGACTAGTTTGGCCACTAGTGCGAGGGTTTCATGGAAGTCCACACCCTCTATCTGGGTGAATCCCTTTGCGACAAGACGAGCTTTATATTGCTCAATACTACCATCAACTCGATGCTTGATTTTATAAACCCACTTGCACCCTATGGGTTTCTTACCCTCCGGCAAAGTTGCTAAAGTTCATGTCTTATTATCTTCTAGTGCTTTAATTTCTGTCGCCATTGCTTCTCTCCACAAAGGATTTTTAATAGCCTCAGTGTAATTCCTAGGCTCAATATCAGAATCAACAGCAGCTAAAAAAACGATGTGAGGCTCAGTAAATTGTT